GGGGGGGGATGTGGGGGCAAAGCAGCATTCTTGGAACCGCGGAACATGGTGATGGGCGAAGCTAAAAGAACTACAAGCTTGGGGCAAATGGAAACTAGAGTGGAATGGTGCAACATGAGGGGGGGGAGGGGGGATTTTCCCGCAGCCGCTGATGTTTGGTTCTTTCTTGCTCTCTCTCTCTATCTCGCTTCGGCGGTTGCTGAGTAGGGGTAGGGGTAGGGGGGTGGCATATGACTAAGTGTACGTGTCTGTGTCTGTGTTCTGCTAATACATAGAGTTTTTTTGTGTGACGTGCGCGCGTTGGGGTCTCGGTGGCGTGGCGGAATGGGGGCGAGGATTCGTGATTATGTTTGGCTATCGCTTTTTTGGCGTTTTTTGGGGGGGGGTAGATTGGGAGAGAGAGAGTGTGTGTGTGTATGTGCGGGAGGTGATAGGCCGCGGATGACACTTGTGTTAATAGTATATGTGTATGTGTTATGCGTGTATACATGGAGGTACAGAAACGGGGGGTTCATGGACTGATAGGTTGCTGTCTTCGTTTTACTCTGGATAAAACCGTCTTATCGCCATCCGTCCCCTTGTAGCAAGTATGCTGCTGGCGAGATGACGTTACTTTGCTCTAGGTGCAGCCACACAGTAGTACTCTCGTATAGGATAAATGGGCGAGAAGAAGTACAATGCAACTCTTACAAATAAAAACATTCTGCTCTTGCCCAATCAACCCACCTACAGCACATCACGTCAATCACACCGACAATCGTAGACAATCACAGACAATCACCCGCATAATGTCAGTCCACGTCAGGAAGAGCTCATGCATGTCAATTTCTGCCTCTCTCCTATCTCCCCCACCCCCTTCTCCCTCTCAATGCCACAAAGGGCCATGATCATCTTTCACTCAACCACTAACAAAATGTTCAAACCCATGTCAAGTAAACATACGCATTCGCCACGTTACTCTCCTTTTCGCCTCCAAAAAGCCCGTCCTGCTTCCCGCTCAAGACTCATCCCGGACACAACGGCTCGTATTTTTTTCCCCAAGAGACTAGACAATCAAACACATGTTGTTTTCTTTCTTTCTTGCAAATTTTCCATTGGTTGACCAGAGTGAACAGAAGAATAGAAAGATAGATCCCTTAGTTGTCCATATAAGTGGCAGAGTTGACTCCATCCTCAGGGAACTCAGGGAGTTCGACCTGGAATCGCTCCTCAATCGACTTGAGAACCGCCTCGTCCTCGGGGCTGCTCACAAATGAGATACTCAGACCCTTGGTTCCGAAACGTCCCGCGCGACCGACACGGTGCAGGTACGCATCAGCCTTGTCGGGCATGTCGTAGTTGATTGCTACGTTGATGCGCTCAACATCGATACCACGTCCGAAGATATCCGTCGACACACAGATACGTGTCTGGAACTCCTTGAACTCCTTGTAGCGCTTGATACTATAACATCATCAGTACTGTGCAAAATCTTGCTTTGAATAATTCAAACTTACCGCTCTTCTTGGCTAATGCCAGAGTGCACAGCAGTGCTGGGGAAGTTGCACTCGCGGAGAAGCTTGTCAAGCTCAGAGCAGCGCAGAGTAGAACGAACAAAGATAATAACCTGGTTGAACTCCAGGTTGTCAAGAAGGTCGTTCAGCTTGCGGTTCTTTTCCTTCTCATCAAGCTTCACGTAGTATTGCTGAAGACCGTGCAGCGTCAACTTCTTCTCGTCGTCGACGTAGATCTCAAGCGGGTTCTGCATGAACTTCTTGCAAACAACACGCACGTCCTTGTTTAGCGTAGCTGAAAACATCATGACCTGCTTGTGCTGGGGAGTGGCGCGGAAGATAGACTGGACATCGTTGCGCATGTCTAAAGGAAATTAGCAGGCGTAGCGCGGACAAAGACAAAGTTGCTCACCAGGCTGGTCAAGCATCTTGTCGCACTCGTCAAGAACAAAGTGCTTCAGGTTGGCAAGACGGAGGTGCTTGTCGCGAACAAGGGCGTTGATGCGACCGGGTGTTCCGACAATAATGTGGGGGTGGGTGTCCTTGTTGCTGAGGAGCTCAATGTCCTTCTGTACAGGTGTTCCACCATAGAAGACACCGACCTTGACGTCGGGCAAGAACTTGGCGAAACGGTTGTACTCGTTGCGGATCTGGTAGGCCAACTCACGAGTGTGGCACATGACTAGAATGGTAGCAACGCCAGGCTCGGGCTTCTCTTCCATCTGCTGGAGGGTTGCGAGAACGAAGACGGCAGTCTTTCCGAGACCCGACTTGGCCTGACAAAGGACATCGTTTCCGAGGATTGCCTGGGGGATGGTAACTTGCTGGACTGTAGGGCACAAAGTATGTCAGAATAAGTCTAAAGCGGTCGAAACGAAGCGTAGGGATCGAAGCGTCCGTCCATCTTGTGTAGTCGAGATCCTCCATCTAGCGCGCGCGTGCCAGTCTGTCTATCCTCCCAACATCCCATGAGTGCCCCCTCTTATGCATCCACCGCATGCGCTCCTCCACTGAAACCAGTCCCTAAGGACCATTGAAGCGGGCCAGCCAGGCACCGCTAGGCTTCTTGATGCATGTATTGGTGCAACCACATTTATAATGTGCGTCGAGGCTCGTATGTAGCGGAAGGCGCTGGGTCCCTCGCCACTTCTCTCGCGTATAGACAGATCATGGCCGCTTTCATTTTTTTGACAGACATGGCTCGTTTCGTAGATGGACAGACGCTTGTAGGTGGATAAGGCTGAGGGGAAATGATTAGACTAACCCTCGGAAGGATGTTCGAAGCCACAGTCGGTGATTGCTCGTACGAGCTCGTCCTTGAGCAGGAAGTCGCGGAAACCGGTAGAATGGATGCCGACATAGCTGCCCTTCTTGTCGCCAGCAGCATCACCAGCGGCGAGACCGCTCTTGGCCGCAGCCGCACCGCCGTTAGCGGGCGCCTCGGTGGGCTGGATCTCCTCGTCGGAGTAGTCAATGAGATCCTCCTCGTGAGACATGATGGATTATGTGTTGGTAACTGAAGGTTGGGTGTAGGGTAGAGTTGATGGTTTGCGCGTGTCGCAAAGCAAGGCTGACGATGAAGAACAAAGCCGAGTGGGATAGTGTGCCGGCAAGCTTAGTATTATACGAAAGAACAACGAGAACAAGGAGCTCGGGTAATTGTTTGAAGGATTCACAGCCACGCGAGGTCGACGTCGAGTGCGATTGTCGGTGAGGTTAGATGGTGGTGACGGTGGAGAAGAGCGGTCGCTGGGCGCTCATGTTAGGTAAAAAGCTTGGGACACCTGGCTGGGCGCGCCACTAGGCCGCAAACGGACGGCTCAGAAATCATAATCCAGCAAACCTCTTGTCTTTCATTGTTGGCCAATGACTTGGAAACCAGGCACGCGCACGTGGACGTACAAACACATAAGATACGAGTAAAAGAGTGATCCGAGTCACTGCATTGTTTGCAAGCAGCCAACACGTCCGTCGTACTTTGCTTGTCAGACAATCAAGATAGCATCATGAGCAAAGTCAAAGCCCCGAAGGCAAAAGGCATTCCGAACAAGCACCTGCATGCACGTTCATCTTTTCTCTACCAAGCCGCCACGTACTTGACTTTGCAAACAGCCGAGGCCGCTGATACACCGCAAGACAAGCAGGCAGCACCCAAGTCGCCAAACCGCCTCTCACTTGCGCTCTCACTTAGCTCCGACCTCCAGCAAGTCTCGCGAAAAGGCCAACTACGTCTGGCCGTTTCTCTAAAACGAACGCTATGCAAAAGCTGCAACAGTGTCCTTATTCCCGGACGCACTGCGACGCATAGGATTGAGAATGAAAGTAAATGCGGCAAGAAACCTTGGGCTGATGTGCTGGTTGTTACGTGCGGTGTGTGTGCCGGCCAGAAACGATTTCCAGCCGGTGCGGCGCCGAGGGTGAAGAAGGGGAAGAGGGAAATGGTGAGTGCGGTGGAGACGCCGATGACTGGGGAGGATACGCCGGTGCTTACGGGGACGGAGTGAGCGTGGGTTGACTTTTGCAATGATGGATTCATATCATCTCAGCATAATCCTGCTGCTTTAACACTGCCTACTATCAAAGGTCTTGCTCTGGACGACTCCCGTCTATGAATCGACCGGATCTCTTGTGTCGCCTACACGCTTTAAGATTATCTAGTCAGGACCATGTTACGACCAAAATGTCTAGCATACGATTTAGACACGACGGCGGGTACCTATTTTGAAAATTGTAGAGCAAACCGTGATCACTATGCATCATCTCGCAATCACGGGCTCTTTTACGAAGATACTTGATACGGTACATGGCGTACTGCCCATCAGTACATGCATACGGAAATCATGCAACAGCCAGCTATAGTAACATACCGAGGACTGACAGTACCCCACACCCTTGGTTAAACCACCCAAAACACAGCTATATATCAAGACAGTCAATGGAATCATATAATCACAAGTACCCAGTAATGTAGCGAAGAATCTAAGCTTCGCCTGGGATATCTATTTTCTCTTTTCGCCTCTTAGACCGTCTCGATATACCTTCGGACTTCCCAGTCGGTCACTGCTTCGTCCCAAAGCCTGATCTCGTGTTGTCTTGTGCCGCCAAAGTGGTCGACAAACTGATCTCCAAACACTTCCCTCGCGACACTTTCCTTACGAATGAAGCGCTCTGTCGCCTCCTTCAGGCTCTTGGCTAGTCTCTCGCCCTTGTCAGAGTCACTGCCGACATCCTCGCCCTTTCCGAGCGGCGGTATGCTGATTTCCATCTTCTTCTCGATACCTCGCCAGCCAAGCGCCAAAATGGCGGCAAGCACAAAGTGAGGATTCGTGTCTGCACCGGGTACGCGGACTTCGAACCGAGTGGCTTTCGGGGAAGAGGTAGGGGGTGAGATGAGGCGGATGGAGGCGGCGCGGTGCTCAAGACCCCATGATACAGTGACGGGTGCCCAGAAATTCTCAACTAGCCTCTTGTAACTGTTGACGTTGGGCGCGAGAATGGGCATAATGTCTGGAAGACCGTCGATGAGGCCTGCAAGGAAATGTCGACCCAGGTCTGATAGATATCGGATGTCTGAGTAAGGCGCGTTTTTGTCCTCTTCTTCTCGGTAGAACAAGTTCTTGCCATCGGCGTCTACAATCGACACGTGCATGTGTCCACTGTTGCCCGGAAGACCTTCGCGCGGTTTTGCCATGAAGCATGGTGTTATTCCGTACTTGGATCCGAGAGATTTGACAACGAGCTTGAAAAGAGAGGCCTTGTCTGCCATTCTTTCGATTGCGCCAAACTCAAGGGCCTGTGGTGTATTAGCTGTGAATTCTACCTTCTACAATGCGGTAGGCATCGCTTACAGCTTCAAAAACTCCGGGACCAGACTCGGTATGCCATCCCTCGATGCCACAGTCGAACTCGGCGCAGGTGTTGAAGATACTGTAGTAGTAGTCCTGGTTGTGGACCGGTCGGGTGATGCTGTACCCGAACATACCTTCTGTAAGGCTGGGTAGGGCGTCGACTGGATTGTTGCGCAAAAAGGAAGCTGTGCTCGAAGTATTCTTTTCCGATCCATCGTGGCTTTGAGGTGCGCGAAATTGGTAGAACTCGTACTCGGCTGAACAACACACATCAGCTTCATTAACGACGCGCAGCATCCGATCTTCCACTGGCATGCGACTCACCTCCAGCCATGGCACCGTAGCCCTTGTCCCTGAGCTTGTCGACGGTACGTTTTAACAGGCTTCTTGGGCATGCGCTCAGAGTGCCTTTGGTGTCGGGATCGTGGAAACTAATGAGGAAGAAGGGTACATTGTTTTCCCACGGTATCCTCCGAAAAGATGTGAGATCCGGTATGGCGATCAAATCACGGTAGCCGTTCTCCTTGTTGGATATGGCCAGCTCTTTGAAGTATGTCTGGTCGTGCATGTCCCAGCCGAAAATGACACTGCAGAAGCCAAAGCCTTCGTTGGCAATGCTGAGGAATTTCTTCTTGGCCATGAGCTTTCCACGTAGAATGCCGTCAACGTCGATACCCGCGACCTTGACTGACAAGTCATCTTTGAGAAGCTCGGGCAACTGCTCGGCCGTCAAGTTGGAGGGGTCGAAGTCGGCGGGCATGATGGCGAGGGGCGGGACAGAGAGGACCAGATGTTGAGAGTCGGTGTGAGTGAGACGGGAGAGTTGACGGACGGCCAGCAGAAGAAAATACGAGCGCTGGCGCAATCAGGTTTTCAAGCAGGCACGCGACGAGGAGCAGCTTGACGCAGCGAAAGGCGGTCCGGATGCGATAGAGCTTGGGCCAATGAGGGGTGATGATGCGATGCGGGCTGGCGACATCATCGATTCGGCGTGCAGACGCGCAACTACTACTACTATATATTGCATTTGCCGCCCCTCTGCTATCTTCCACCCTCATGCACGACATTCCTATCCAGTACCCAATGCGACAAGATAGCTCCCCATGCCACCCCCGTGATAAGCCGCGAGACGCCAGACCTACCACACAGGGCTGCGCGTCACGTCCGAATGGCGGGGCAGCCCACCCTCAAGTTACGTAGAATGGCCGTCCGGAACATGGGTGCAAGTATGCTCGAGCCATTCAAGCAAGGCTGCCCTAGTGAAGCTGTCCACCGCTCCAACAAAGCCCGCCCAGCCGTGACAGCAGCAAACGTGCTCTGATAGTCCTTATCGTTGACTATCAATGCCCTGGGCCGATTCTCGGACCCGTGACTGTCTGAATGACCGCTTCACTGTCCGTGATTACCCGTCCACAATCTCCCCTCCCTCGTCTCCTTGAAGCCGCCGACACTCTCATACGCCCGTGCATACTCCAACCTCCAACCCAAAGGTAAGTGCGGAGTTGTCGTCCCTGTTGCCCGTCGGGTGGCATACTTTCCCCATTCACGATCCAGTGTGCCGTTGGCATGACGCTTTGTCTAGTTTATATTAGTCATATTTCGCAACTTGACACAAAACTTTGCCTTGCCCACATCAACCATTGACACCATTGCAGCCTCTTTGCTACACGTAGTACCTGAACAAGCGTCGAGTCGAGAAATTCAACATGGGCCGTCTAGAGAACAAGAACTGCATCATTACCGGAGGAGCTGGGTAAGCAAGCATCTTCTATTTGCACATGCCACAATTCCCATCAACATCTTCAATTCTTTCTTTGTATCAGCTTGATGATGCTGCGGAGTGCTATTTGTCCTACTTGTTTTGCTTGCTGAATGGCACATCATGTTCATTGCCATGTAATGGTGCATGGTCACAGCGCATACATTAGCCCCGCGTCCAAAACCACATACTGACCATTTGCAGTGGAATCGGTCTCGAGACTGGCATCCTTTTTGCTCGGGAAGGCGCCAATGTCCTTCTCTCTGACATTTCTGGCCCGGCCTTGGAAAAGGCTGCTGCCAAGCTGAAAGAGGTGGTCCCAGAGGCCAAGAAAGTTGAGACCAAGGTCACTGATGTATCCAAAGAAGCCGATGTCCAGGCCATGATTGAGCACGTGGATTCATGGGGCGGTGTAGATGTCCTGTTCAACAACGCAGGTATTATGCACGCCAACGACGATGATGCTGTCAACACGCCTGAGAAGATCTGGGACTTGACCCAAGCCATCAACGTAAAGGGCGTATGGTTTGGTTGCAAGCATGCAGTCAACAGCTTCAGAAAGCACGGCAAGAAGAAGACGAGCGTCATCAACACCGCCAGCGTGGTCGCATTGGTGGGCAGCGCAACACCACAGCTCGCATACACAGCAAGCAAGGGCGCTGTATTAGCCATGACCAGGGAATTGGCAATGGTCCACGCACGTGAGGGCTTCAGATTCAACTCGCTGTGCCCAGCGCCATTGAAGTAAGCTTCTCAATATGCCATGTCGGGTCTTTGACATGCTAACCAGCGCAGCACCCCTCTCCTTCAAGACTGGCTCGGTGACGACAAAGAGAAGCGTCACCGTCGCGAAGTCCACTTCCCCACAGGCCGTTTTGGCGAGGCCGTTGAGCAGGCTCAAGGTGTCCTATTCCTTGCCAGCGACGAGAGCAGCTTCGTCAACGGCACTGACTTTGTCATTGACGGTGGCATGACCAAGTGCTACACTACGCCTACTGGGCCTCCCCTGGATGCGCCCAAGAACAACGCAAAATAAGTGCGGATTGGGCGTTGTGAATGAAAGCGACAGTCAGGCTGCGAGGAAGCACGTAGACAGTCATGTATAGCAATGATGAATAATGGATGAATGATACCACTACATACATCAAGCGTTAAGCTGAGATTTGTACTAATTGAAACGACGTGTGAAGTCATGGTTTCGAATCGCTTGCAGATGACCACGCGTTTTAGCGCCATTCCCGAGCTTTGTGTCAGGGTCCAACGTTGCATTTTCCTGAAGCGACATACGCGACTTTTGGCCGCATGCGCGCCAGCTTGCCAGCATGGATCGTATTACCGCACGCGCTGACAACGACTTCGACATTGTTTTGTATGGCACGCTCTGGATAGCTGCCCTTTCCTTCATCTGGCTTACGTGCCGTGCGGATCCAGAAGAGCCGGTCAAGTACACCGTCGAAACGCCTCCGGAAGCCAAGAAGGGATGGAAGGGCAAAGTGCTTGATGAGCCTGGATTGAAGGTACTGGGTGTCCTCTCAAAATGCAAAAATGTAAACTGATTAGTTTTAGGTTTCTGGCTCTTCACTAATCCAATGCTACGCCCCCGCAACTGGTGAAGCCCTCGGGCGCATCAACCCCTCCACCACAGACGGTATCGACCGTGCAATCGCCAAAGCAAAAGACGCCCAGGTGAAATGGGCACAAACAAGCTTTCGTCAGCGCCGAAAGGTACTGCGTACAATGCTGCAGTTTATCCTCGAAAACCAAGAAGCAATTGCAAGGGTTGCCTGCCTCGACTCTGGCAAGACGATGGTGGATGCCAGTTTGGGTGAGATACTCGTGACTGTGGAGAAACTGAGATGGTCAATCAAGCATGGGGAAAAGAGCCTGAAGTCTGAGAAGAGGGACACAAACTTCCTCATGATGTACAAGTGGAATGAAGTTGTCTACGAACCGCTGGGCGTCGTTGCGGCCTGTGTGAGCTGGAAGTGAGCATTGCATGACCGTTAACAGAGAAGCACTCCAGCTAACATGCTCCTAGCTACCCTTTTCACAACCTCATCAGCCCCGTCATAGCCTCCATTTTCGCCGGCAACGCCATCATCGTCAAAGGCTCTGAAGCTACCGCCTGGTCATCCTCATACTTCGCCTCTATTGCTACCCGTGCTTTGGAAGCGTGTGGTCATTCACCTGAAATTGTGCAATCCGTCGTCTGCTGGCCTGACGTCGCTGACCATCTCACCTCGCATCCATCAATCTCGCATATAACATTCATTGGCTCACGTCCAGTGGCACACCATGTTTGTGCCTCGGCCGCAAAGGCACTAACACCAGTATGTGTCGAACTCGGAGGAAAGGACCCGGCCATTGTTCTCGACGACATATCAAACAGCGATTTCAAGCGCATAGCTAGCATCCTTATGCGCGGCACCTTCCAATCTGCAGGCCAGAACTGCATCGGAATCGAGCGCGTCATTGTACTTCCAAAGGTCTACGATCGCCTCATCGAGTATCTCACACCGAAGATACGTGCCCTACGTCCTGGCTCCATATTGAACACTTCCTCGGACGTGCCAATTGACATTGGCGCTTCTATCTCCGATGCAGGCTACCCCAAACTTGAAGACCTCATTCAAGACGCCGTTAACAACGGTGCTCGCGTCCTGGCAGGCGGAAAGCGTTACGCCCACCCCGAGTTCCCCAAAGGCCATTACTTCAGTCCCACCTTCATAGTCGACGTCACGCCCAGCATGAAAATCGCCCAAACGGAGCTCTTTGCACCGGTCTTCCTGCTCATGCGCGCTGAATCCGTCACAGACGCCATTTCCATTGCAAACAGCACCTCGTACGCCCTCGGTTCCTCTGTATTCGGTTCGTCCATTCGCGACCTCGAACTTGTTGTGCGCTCTCTGCACGCCGGCATGGTCGCTGTAAATGACTTTGCTGTCTACTACATGGTGCAGATGCCTTTTGGTGGCACAAAGGGCAGTGGCTATGGTCGCTTTGCAGGAAAAGAAGGACTAAGGAGTCTATGCAATCAAAAGAGTATCACCAGGGACCGCTGGGCATGGGCGGGAATCAAGACGGGGATTCCGCCTCCGATGGATATTCCACTGCAGGGCGAGGGCGCGGGGGCTAAAGCGTGGAATATGGCGCAGGGAATTGTGTGGTTGGGATATGGAAATTTGAGGGGCAAGGTTAGGGGGTTGAAGGGGGTTCTAGGAATGTAGAAGGGAGTTGCATTTCATTGATAATGCCATGGTGTATACCTGAGATATTTCAAAGAAGTATACCTAATATCCAACTCTGCTTTCGGCACTTGCTCATACTTCTCCGGCACCATGTACGCAATTATGAAACAAACGATATGATTTTCGGATTAAGTATGGATTCGTAGCTATACTGGGTACCGATGGTACTGAGCATAGGTTTGTAGATGTGCTACAATTGTTAGAAAAAGTTTCTATAGACGATACATGCCAGAGTGTGTCCTCTACATTGACTCAAGTCATATTTTTTTTGGCTATTATTCTTCGCCATTAGATACTTTTGGTATCTATGTATGATCATGATCCAGAAAGCGGGCAGCAAGATCCGGTTCGACGGTGACCGATCTTCATACGCTGATGTCCATATCTGGTTCCATTGGGATATAAGGAATTGCTCAGTAGCTGAGAATCTCCACTCTTTGGATAGCCACTATCCTGTTGATACCCCCATCGATCTGGTAGGAGCTTGCTCAATTCGACAAGTGAAGCGCCTGACGTATACCGTCTCGACGTTTCCATAGCTCAGGTCGATGCTCATCCTTCGACACTAGTCGTCTTGTCTTTCTTCCCGAAAAGTTCGTCGACCAGTTCCACGAATTGTGCCATGGCCTCTTTCTCCGCTTGATTGTCTTCTCCGTTTCGAATGGACTTCAACACCGCCATAGCATCTTTGTCCCCCTTCTTAGGTGTCCACCTCTCTTCTCTCTCCTCCCAGTGTCTGCCTCCCCTTCCTCTACCTCTTCCTCTGCCTCTTGACCCGCGTCCTCGAGACATATTTCTCTCGAGCATGCGCCGTCGTCTCTCGTCTTCAGGGTCCGGTTGTATGGTCTTGGCGTAGACGCGTTGGAGGGTGGAGAGCAACACAGGGTTCGCTTTTAGAAGAGCTTGGTATTTAGGATTGGCCGCTAGAGTGGAGAAGTCGGTGCGGCTTTTGAGGTAACGCGGTATGGGAGCGGGCGGTGGTGGCTGTGGGATGCTTGGCTCGGCAGGTTTTGATGTTGACGAGGCGGCGTCTTCTGGGTGAGTGACTTTGTGTGTTTTGAAGCATGTTAATGAACAGCTGTCTATGTTAGTTCTTTCAGCCCAGAGAGAAGCTGATTGTGCCGTACTATGGAAGCGCGCAAGTCGGGCATTTGTACTTCTTTGGCTCTGTCTCGCAGACGCCGCAGAGAATCGTCGCCATTGTGTCCAGTTCGTCGAGTTTTAGTGAATGAATGCCAGGGTATAGATGTGCAAAGAACACAGCGAGTGGTGGGTTGTAAATAGGTTTTGTTAGAGTATTAGAGACGACGCGCGCAACCAACCCAGAACTTTTGCCCTTGTAGACATTCCCAAAGCGGTTAAATCCCGCGGCGAAGTTCCACCACTCTCCCGAGGTTTCAACGTCCAATTCACTGTATCTCCGCTCACACAACAATGTCCTTTACGTCAACACTGCGACAGCTGCCATCACGGCAAATAGGCCTATGGACATGTTCAGCATGCTCCCGCTCGCTCGCCAGGGCACCACGCGCCCGCAATCCCGTCTTCGCCGTGCAAAAATGCTTAAACACCACCAGAGCTGCGCAACATGGCACCGTACCGCGAATGGACCAAATGCATGCGCAATACAAAATGAAGAATAGGACCGTAATGTGAGCGCGAAGCGGACTCAATCCGGTGGAATAATCACTCAGTGTGGACAGGAACTATGTATTTAGTGTAATAGTCGGTTTCGTAGCTATAACATACGGCTCAGTACCCATGTACAAAATGGTATTTCCTCCCCCATCTTGCCAATCCCACCACCCACTAACTTTAGTCTTCAAGATCTGCCAACAGACCGGCTGGGGCGGCCAACCCATCAAGTCCGCCGCGCACGGCGGCGATTCCAGTATCGACCCCGCCGAGCGCCTCAAACCAGTAACCAACCACCCCCGCATCCGCATAACCTTCAACGGCTCCGTCTCCGACGTGCTCCCTTGGAAATTCGTACCTCAGCAACGCGAAGTCCGCGTTCTCCCCGGCGAAACGGCCTTAGCATTCTACACAGCGACCAACAAGTCGCCTGAGGACATCATCGGTGTGGCGACGTACTCTGTTACGCCGGGTCAGGTGGCCCCGTATTTCAGCAAGATCCAATGTTTCTGCTTCGAAGAGCAGCGGCTGAATGCGGGCGAGACGGTGGATATGCCTGTTTTCTTTTACATTGACCCGGAGTTTGTCACCGATCCGAATATGAAGGGGATTGAGACTGTGACGCTGAGTTATACGTTTTTCAAGGCAAAGTATGACAAGGATGGGCATTTGAGACCTGTGCCTATGGCTTGATGGAATGATTTTTATTCTATATTTTTCTACGTTTGTTTCTTTTCTAAAAGGAAATGATTATGTATGATATGTAGTTGTACAGTATCTTGCTTCTCTGCTATTAGAGTGGTGTGCAAGTCGTGGGTTTTCTACTGTTACAATGGTGTACAAGTCATGGTTTCTCTACTGTTACAATGGTGTGCAAGTCATGGTCTCTCTGCTTTCAGAGTGGTGTACAAGTCACTTGGTCGTCGAACTCTGCGCTGCTGTCAAAGGAGCCTACAAGTGACTAGATACCAACCCGAAACGATCATAGTACTCTCGCTTTCCCATGTCGCACAAGACCTCTTTGGCCTGGTTGATCTCGGCCATTTTCTTCGTGGCCTTTGCGCGATCCTCACTCTTGCAGCGATCAGGGTGCCACTTCAGGCTCAGAGCGCGGTACGCCTTCTTGATATCGTCGGTCGTAGCGTTGCGGGAGACTTTGAGTACAGTGTACAGATCTGTGCGAGGTCGAATGCCCTCAGGCGCAGGAGGAGACTCATAATACGAGGAGTAGGATTCCGACGGCTGTGAGCGAGGATACTGCTGGGAACGAGAACTCTTGTGCTGTCGTCGTGGCTTGGGGGAAGAATCACGTGGTCGTCGTTCTTCAGTCGTGTAATGCGCTTGTCGCGATCTGCTGTTTGAAGTGTTTGTTCCTGTGCGCGGTGAATGAGGTGGTGTAGGGTCAGCAGGATACTCATAGGAATACTCATACGCTGTCCCCCATGTCGTCTCTCCGAACTCCATAGACTCGTACTCGAACTCGTACTCGTAGCTTGGTACTCTATCCTCTGTCCAATATGTCTGATGGGTTCGTGTACGAGTCTGCTTGGGGTAGTACTCAGGACCACAAGGAGACGAAGTCGAGGTGCGCGATTCTGCAGTGCCTGGACGGCGATTTTCCTTTTCTTGCGCAAAACCATAATGGCCCAAAGGAGAAGATGGGACACGCTCTTCCGTATTGTATAGATGACGTTCTCCTTTTGTGTGTGTAAAACCATGACGACTGGAAGGGAAAGACGGAACACGCGCTTCTGTATTGTACGGACGACGCTTTCCCCTTTGTTGTGCGTAAGTGAAATTGCTAGAAGCAGGAGAAGGGCTGAGATCTCGGAACGGAACCCTGGGTTCTGGCATCCACTGTCGCTCGGATCGGTGGCGCATATCCTCTGGGTAGAGGCTGCCACGATTGAAAAAGAAGGGGTCGTTGTCAAAGAAGCTTGCCATTTCTGCGTATGTCGTAATTTCTAGTTTAGTTGCTGGGTCTCCTGGTTTAGTAGTTATTGTTGAATGTATTTGGATAGTAACCTTAGAATGTTATCCGCCCTTTTTATCCGCCGAGTAGTCGACACTGTGAACTGTAGCATTGGGTATGAACAGCGTGATGTGTGAGTTGGGTGACATTGTGCAAGTTCACTGTAGACGTAGAGTTAGAAGCCCTAGAGTAACCAGCTCCTTTTCAAGCAGACTGCCTACTAGCTGATAGAGTCTTCCTTATTCCGTATAGCCAAAAACGTCACTTCTCCATAATATGGTGGTGTATCAGGACAGTGCATCGATCTCGATTTATCACGCCTTTCTACCTCCTGCATGGCATCTGAAAGCTCTTTGATGGTCCTTGGTATACACTTACTTTGCTTCTGAGTTCGTAGTGAATGTTTGCTGTGGCTGTTTCTGATCTGCTATTGCGCCATTGTGGCTAATGAACGATCATTCGGAGGTTGGCAATATGACTGCGTGTAACCATACATGTCTCAAGGAACATTGGCCAGCTTACTCGGCTCCATTGGTCGGTTGGCATCTACTCCTACGGCTACTTGTCGACGCGCGGAACTGAACGCCTTGGCAGAGAATGTATCGTGGGTTTCCCTGGTTTCAGTTCCGCACAATTTGTTAAGCAGGCCCCACCCTCAGCTAAGCCATCATTTCTAAGCCATCATTTCTAAGTCATCATTTCCAAGCCATCATTTCTAAGTCATCATTTCCAAGCCATCATTTCCAAACCATCTCACCCATTGGGCGGTAGTTCCAAAGTATCGGTTAGCAGACGGCGAGACTCTCGGCCACTATCACCTGAGGGGCTGGTACACACTCCTCCATCAAAGGCTTGTGACAAAGCGGCTGGGGTGTACACGTGCATACTTTCGTTGAGGCGGCGCACCATTGGTCACTCTTTTGGGGCGCTACAAGACTAGGCATGACCATAGTGGGATCCTACTGTGCTGCCAGGTGTAAGTTGGATTATTAATGAGTGCGGGAAGAAGCGCGATCTCGGGACGCCGCGGGTTTAGTGTATGTGGGGCACTTTACGTGCACCATAGCGATGCCTGATCACGTCTTCGTCGAGACGTGCGGAGATATAAGATAAGAAGGCCTGGAAGTGCGTATCGTGCAACTAACCTCACCTCTTATCCAATACAACAATTGCACATCAATTTTCAAAGCACCTCAACGCTTGAATCTTTCTCCTGTTTCTTGTATCGTGACCATGTCAATCAAAAACGTCATCATCATCGGGGTGGGTATCTCGTATACATCTCGTTAGCGGACACTAACGGTATCAGGCGGGCGGAAACCTAGGACCCTCAATTCTGAATGCCTTCCTGAAAGAGTCTTCTTTCAACACAACTGTGCTCTCACGTCAAAATTCAAATTCCAAATTCCCTCCTGATGTCAAGGTGATCCACGCAGACTATAGTTCGCAGGACAGTCTCAAGGCGGCTTTCCAAGGACAGGATGTTGTAGTATCTCTTGTCGGTGGCCTTGCGATTGGTGACCAGCACAAGCTGATTGACGCTGCCATTGCGGCAGGTGTGAAACGTTTCATCCCCTCAGAGTACGGAAGCAATACGCCTGACAAGCGAGCTCGTGACATTGTACCCGTGTTTGAGGCCAAGTTTGCCGTTGTGAACTATCTCAAGACCAAGGAGGCGGAAATCAGCTGGACAGCTATAGTTACCGGACCATTCTTTGACTGGGGGCTTAAGGTCGGGTTCTTGGGCTTCCAAAGCCACTCTAAGAGCGCTACCTTATTCGATGATGGCGAGGCTACATTCTCCGCAACGAACCTTCACCAGATTGGTATTACAACAGTCAAGGTTCTCGAGCATGCGGATCAGACAAAGAACCAGTACGTATACGTCAGCGGCTTCCAGACAACACAAAAGGAAATCCTGGCGGCGGCGGAGAAGGTGACGGGTGCAAAGTGGACAGTAGAAAAAGTCAATGTCAACGACCATATTGCACAAGCGCGTGAAAAGCTCCAGAAGGGAGATTTTTCGGCCATTCCAGATCTGCTACAAGCCGTAACATATTCCAAGGAGGAGTTGGGCAACTTCGCGCCCGTGGGTCTTTGGAACGACAAGCTTGGAATACCAAAGGAAAGCCTTGAGGAGAGTGTGAAGGGAGCACTTGCTTAAGGATGTAGATAGACAAGTAACGAATGGAAGAGTCATACTTATTCTTTACAAACGACTTGATGCAAGTAATATAATTATCATAAGGAGATTAGCTACTAAAGAAAAAACTGGTTACCAAAAGAGAAAAGGTCCACCTAGTAATGATTATATATCAAACTCGTAGTAGATAAAGATATATTTCAATAATATATTAATGTATTGTGGAACGATACCTGATCAAGATCAAACGATCACAAGGGTAATCCATAATCGAGTAGATATAATCAAGCTGATATTCGATCGCTGTACAGGGTTGATCAAAGAAGGTGCCTTTCTACGTACGAAAGAAAATCGTAATATATGTTACGATATAATCACGTGATACTACATCACAATATGTTCAAACCTAAGATTTTTTATTTAAGATATAAGGTGCTTAAACAATATCAGTAAATTGTTAAAGAGATGTATTGGGTTTATGGAAATAGACTTTAAGTGTTGCAGCATCGACCCTCTTGGCGAGATGCTAGGTTACTACGTGATCTTCGCCCCGCGATGATTATTACCTTCTGACGCGGACGTCCATAGGCCCGTAGCCTTCTCATCCTTCCTTGAGGAGAGAGTTCTTCTCGTTACCTGTAATAAATCTTCATGGACTTAGACTATATTCTCCCTAATATCTATGGAGTAATAAACGCTTGTATATATCAGACTATTTTAGGCACTAATTTTCCATCCTCTCTTTCCTGTTGTTATACCATGTGAATTAACAAATGCTAGAACAGTCTCCCAATTGCGGCACTTGTGCTCAGTCCCCCATCCCCGAACAGCTAGCTCAGGATTCCCGTATTCATCCACTCTAACCTTCTGAAGTGACATATCAGCGGAGCACATGACAGCTTGACGTAGATAATCGAAACAATGGTTGACGTGCTCTGGATCAAGACTATGCGAATTGACATGCGCGCCACTCATGCCGTTCTCAAAATACTCTTTGAGGCTTATCTAAAGCATGTAAGTAAGCGCTCAGATTAGAGACATGATATGGCTCTAACAATGCAATGTAGCTGATGAAAAGCGGAAATGCAAAATGCTTCGGAAGTTTGGCTAGGTTGCTTTGCCACTCGGTAGCCTTCCTTGTCAAGAATCGTCGTATTACCCAGTGGGTAGCCACCTAGGTAGCTTGTCAGTAGACTCATCTACAAGCTTCGAACCTCTGACATGCCCGTCAGTTCGTATGTTGAAGGCTTCAGTCGGAGAAGAGATGCCTCGAAACAGCAGGGTTGTAGTTGTGCTCGCGCTTTTGTCCTACCCCAGTTTCCGTGTTGGCACTCTTTTCGAACATTCGGATTCTTTCTCAGACCATCATCAGAACTATGCCCAGGAAGTAGGACAGGAAATCGATGGCTTGATACGCTCAGCCGAAATGAAGATGGCTGATATGCTATCACGGCAAACGCACACTTTTGAAGCTGCAGTGGATGCCTATCGATCTCGGAGAAATCAAGATCCGTCAAAAGGGTTCCGGCAATGGTACGACCTCGCCCGGAATACCAGCACCATAGTCATCGAGGATATGTGGGACCCGATATATGAGGATCTTGAAGTGTACGCACAAGCAACATTTCCTGCAGGGCGAAGCCGAGCATCTGCACTGCGAGATGCAGCCGACTACATTTCGGTACCAAATATCTGTCCGCAGGTGAAGGGTTTTTTCTTGCGAAAAGTAAAATCTGAGTTCAAGGATGCTGCAATGTTCGTGGATAGTAATTGCGAGGCTGACAATCGTCCCTGTCTCGAGGTCCAAGCGATGCTAAACAGAGTGGCACAATTCCTACCTAGCATGAGCATTCCAGTGAATGATCATGCTTCGCCACGTGTGATTGTACCTCATGGGGATAGAAGCACCACTGCCAAGCAGCAAGAACGGTATGCCGAGCCTTTTTATCATGACGAGACAACATTTCCCGTGTTATTCAATCGGGCCCAGCTTGCGATCGATGCTTGCTCGCCAACCTCACCGCTGGGGAACCTTAGCCTAAGCAGTGGGAGTCACAATATGTTCGAAGGATCCTACGGTGCTATCCAGCCAAAGACTCCATCACTTGTCTCCAACGGTGCCAGCTGGCGAGACGTCTGCCATCAGCCATGGCTTCTCGATATCCACGGGGCACTGATCCGTCCCAACGCGCTCAGCACTTCACAGCGATTGCTACCGCTCTTCTCATCCGCAAAGCTCTCGGGAGTGGAAGTTGCCTTGCGTTTTCCGGATACCATCTACTGGTCGCGTGACCCGGATTACAACGTGAACGCCACCGATGTCATAACCGAGTCTTTTGACATGAAGCAACAATGGCTCAAGAAGCTGCCTGTGGCCTATTGGCGCGGTACCAATACTGGTGGAGGCCACGATCGCGATAATTGGCATCGCTTTCATCGCCATCGCTTTGTGGCATCGACCAACGCCACGTGGCTGCGTACTGTGCAATCACAACCGCGAAAAGACTGGACCAGACTATCATACACTGTGACTGACAGAATCATATCTTTGGCCGAAGAGCATACTGATGTTGGATTCACTTCCATTGTCTGTCGCGACGACGGCTACCAATCATCGAACAAGAATTGCTCATACCTTGGATCACATTTTGTTGAGGCTTCGTACATGCCCTTGTCGGAGATCCTTTCTAGGTACCGCTTTCTGTATGACGTTGATGGAAACAGTTATAGCGGAAGATTCTATGCTTTGCTATCCTCCAACTCTGTCGTACTTAAAGCGACCGTCTTCCAGGAGTGGCATGACGCACGCCTTCTCCCTTGGTTGCATTTCATTCCTATCTCGAATCATTTTGGCCAAGATTTATGGGACGTCCTGGAGTATTTCTTAAAGAATGAAGAGCTTGGAGCTAAGATTGCAGGCGGAGCAAGGAGATGGGCGGATATGGTTCTAAGGCCAGTAGATCTAGAGATTTATTTACTCAGGCTCTTACTAGAGTGGGCAAGATTTATTGGGATATAGGAGCCTAGTCTTAAAATCATTAACATCCGAGACGGGCGAGTGATCGAACATACAATAACCTGTTTGACGTAGACGCCCAAAAATCTCCTAGTATACGAACTTCCTCAAGGAAAGACTCTTCGCTTATCACGTATAACATAATGATATGTAGTCGTGCGCTGGCACAGTAAAGTGCCTATCACAATTCCGTCTCGTCACGACAGGCTGGACGCCCTTAAAATAGCTTCTTAATAGGATTTTGGGTCACTCGCATAGTCTAAGTGTTAGCTAGAGCACTGAGAATCTATTCACCGTCTAAGCACCGCTTAGATGATGCGCTTAGGTTCGTAGCATGATCTTTCTCCACCAAGTAAACAAACACCGCGAAAGTAGTAGTATTTAGCTCTCTATTAAATATAACATCTTTAATACTAAAGCGATTACTCTCTAGAGTAGAGTCTCTAACCAGCGTTTATCTAAACTCAATCGAGTTTAAATATAGTTTAGCTTATCTATGAGAACATACGTTCATATTTGAATACTCTCTTTGTCTTGTATAAATTCATTTACTCATTTGTATACTTTGCTTAATGGCTTTCTATGTACACCAGAGAACTACGAATTAGACACAATCATTACCGTATTAATCTAGATAATGAGGCCCACTGGCAAAGACATGCTTATGAAGTTTATGGTACTGTTTCATGACTGTATATGTCTGTAATAAGGTGCAGAGAGCTTCTTTGATGATAAGTTTCCGCAGAAGCATACAGACGGTCAGGATTCTCGCAGTGAGGGCATTATTTGGCTCCTTTGTATTCTCTTAATGCCGATTACGACCCAGCCCTCTACATATTTTCCATTTCGGTACCCGTAAATATACTTGACTCTATATTAGCTGGTCGGTGCCTGAAATTATGTAAAAATCGACGACAAGATACGTTGGTTGTTACGTTAGGGGAGATCCTGGTAACTGCACTCTGCGAGATCTTCGTATATGAATCCTCGTAATTAGAAGGTCAATTTTGATGTCTTCCTCTGCATTCAAAACTAAGTATCGACGCTGGTAGGATACCGAGATTCACCACCTGACGCACGGCCCCACCTAAGTGTGGTTCATTGTCAACGTGATGTAACATACGGCTTAATATTGGGGTTGCCTGCAGTCAAAGCATTAAGTTACGACTGTTACCTGAGTTTTCATGGGAGGACAGAGGTTTGCAGCTGATGTTCTATGAATACTTGTTGGGATGGGGATCGTGAAAAGTAATTATTGCACACCGCAGACGATCTAAGAGAACTATCAAGTACGATAGAAGCTGAAGAATACCTATGCAGGCTTACTAAAAACGCGCCTTTTGGCTCACAATATAGACTAAACGGAGCTCTACCAATCAATACGCTCACGAGCTGTACGATGAAATTCCCTAAGAACGCGCCTATGTATTCTTGATTATCCGAATAAAGGTATTTCTCATTCCCCGCCGGAGCAAACCCAAGTAAGGCACAGCAGGAGGACAATATGGTAGAAGGTCCACCCACCATGTAAGAAGAGTAATTATTAGGATTTCCAATGGAAAATGAGGATTGGATGTTGCATTTCGCACACACAGCACGGCCCTAGCAAGATGCATCAAAGCAGCGACATTGAAGCCCGTACAACCAAGCCATGGACTGTATTTGTGCTCAAAGAGGATCAATTGAAGGGGGTGTGGTGGCATTCCTAAACCGAATACCCGAGTAGCGTGAGCGCACAAAGGATGTCTTTGTTTAGGCTGGAGTAATTATAGGGTTACTATTACATAAAGCGCAAGGTGTGTATCTTCACACGCTAGCCCGCAGTAATTTTCATTCGTTTACCGCGCAACTGTTGTGTCGGCTGCTGCAGCTAGTGTGATCAAAGAGTTAGTGTCCCAGAATCAACAATGTTCTATACAAAGGGCAAAATTTGTAGGCTAATAATATTCTAACAACGATAAAAGAAATCTCCAAGAACAAAGCAGACTTCATGTTCTATCTCGATCGGAATTTACTGTCAGTGGCAAGTATATAAGGAAGAGAGCTGGTTATTCTGTATATTCTCATTGTTCGATCGATGTTTTCCTTTCTTAGCATTACAAAATACATCGCTATTGACTCCACATTAACCTTACAATGCGATCGATAGCAAGTATTGCCCAAGAGCACTTTGGGATCTCTACATATGGTGAGGCACTCAAGCTTGAGCTTCTTGCTTTAAAAGAGAATGACCCTCCTCGAACTACACCGACCCATTTATCAATTCCGTATACTGCAGACAATTGCCCCGAGGACCCTCCACAGGATGAGTTTCAAAAGGCGGTAACTGAAAACACTCTTCATGCGGCAGTCCACATGAATTATGTATTCCGAGTTCGCGACCAAGTTTTTAAGGTTGGTGACGAGCAACAGATTATCGAAGTAAGCAGCATGATAAATATCACGATGAAAGGTTGACTGACGTATAACAGGAAGCAGAGAATCTCATCTATCTTGCAGAAAATTCTCGCGTCCGAGTGCCCAAGGTTTACAAGGTGTACCCTGGGCACCCAGCGGGTGGTCGCCCTTAGACTGTTATGGTTATGGAATACATACCAGGGTTCCAGCTCACGTATACCGATTGGATGAGTTCTACGGAGGAAGAGCGTACAACACTGTGTGCCAGACTACGAGAGCAGTACCGTCTACTCCGGTCTATTCCATCTGAGGGATACTATGGTCGAGTTCATTGCCAAGCCTTTGACCGTAAGATGGGCATGTTTCGCACCAACTGTAAGCAATCTTGCGGCCCATATAAAACTTACGAAGAATTTACTTCAGCAGTAATCCGTTCTGCTGAAGTAAATGCTTTGATTAGACGTGTCCAAGAAGGCGAATATCTTTGTGAGGATCAAGACACTATGTTGTCTGAGTACAAGCAAGCCTTAGAAATATCTGCTGACCGGAAACCTGTCTTTACCCACGTGGATCCTTCCCTAAAGAACATCATCCTCCGCCGTATTCCATCAACACAAGACCAACCTCCAGACTGGGAAGTGACCTTGATTGATTGGGCTGGTGCTGGGTGGTACCCAGCGTGGGTACAGGGTGCTGCATTCGACCAACGTTTCGGCTTCTGGGACGAATCTGGAAAATTTCACGCTGATATTGATGACGAGTTTGTAGATAAAGTCTTTGGCGAGATGAAATGTGGAGCAGATTTGGCGCGCCTTTGCACCAAGGCACAAAGAATCTACTAAGCAGACTAGCCTTGAAATGAATACTCAAAAAAACAAGATGATCAATTAAGCAGTGGAAGAGGGGCTACGAATTTTTCCTTCTATTACACATAGCCCGTTCTATATAGAAAAAATAATTCCAAATTTTCCATTCTAATCTTAACGAACCCGATAGTAAAGGCTATTGACTATTCGGCATTTTAGGCCAAATTTTGGCCACATTGTCACTTCTTGTAGTGTTCGACAGCTAAAGTGGGTATGCTGTAGTGAATTACTTCGGGACGAGAGGAGAACACAAAGCGCTATGGTCGGTCTCAAGCGTAGTTAGCACTGCTGTCCGCCAGTTTGCAAATGCCTGCTCCGCAGTCTGATTTGGCGTAGGCTGGTTCAGCATATGCTGATTGATGCAGATATCCGCGAAGAGGTCGGGATCATGAAACCACCCATGTTCTATCCAGTGCGTTACCTGAGATGGAGCGTGCATGTCAAAAATAACTTTTGAGTTGTGATCTTCAAAGTAGAATGCATAGCATAGATGTGAATTCGTCTCCCTTCGTTTTATGTGGATGAACAATGCTATTCCGATTTTACAATACGACCCGGTGGAAACTAGGTGGGGGCCTTGTGGGTCTGGTAGGGTATTCTCAAGTAAGACTGGAACCAGGACCATGTTGTAAGGTAATATAGTGTTTCCGAACGTGTCTAATGTAATTTCCTTGCAATCTGTTAAGGTTGTGCAGTATTGTAAAGGAGCTCCTAGCTTACTACAGCTTTATATGCTATGATAGAATTTATATATATTGTTAAGGCTTAAGACAAGAGACTGATTTAAATCAAATATCGAAAAGTACTGCTGTTGTCTCGTAGGATTTACATTCGTCTAGGAGAATTGTTGTGTTGTGTCTTAGGCTCAACAGTACGCACTCTTAGGAAAGCCGTTCTTATCACTGTCATTACCAGGTAGGCGATTATTTCGGCTTCAATGGGAACAGTAAAGGGATCTTAAAAATCATCACCACCTACTTTTCTAGGACTGACACTCAGGACCGTTCTTCTTCTCCTGAACAAGCAATTGATGACCTTGCAGGGTCCGCAATGTCCAGCGATTAAGTTGACCAACCGACGTACGAACACGAGTCCATCCAATTCTATCAATTCACCAACCATGTCGGCCCACCAACTACTATTTCCATTCACTGATACAAGATAGCCGCCTATTCCATGACATCTCTCGTCCGTGTATGCTGAAGGGGTAGGGTTTGGTGGTACATCGAGAGTACGAACCACACTTGGGTACGTGCTGGCTGAGCGAATATTCTATCCACCACCGTCTACACCATACGACTTCCTCTGTCCCTGCAGCTTCCAGAAGTCGCATTCGCCCATCAAATCAATCGTGTATTTCAGCCTCCTAGTTAGTCTTCTTTCCGTGTCTCTATTTATGTTATCGCGTCTCGCACAGTGCTTGCAAAGGCCCGTCATCAGGGAGACACAGGTAGTCACCCTGTCTCGGGCCGTTCGCAAATTCCCGCTCGAACCACGCACCGATCTTCAACGCGAAACACGCTGTCACACTTACAAAGCCGATAGCTGAAGGCTGTAAACCTGTTTGTAAACCTTCTGATGGAGCCTGGGATGCTCCGGCATGTTGACCTAGAATTCTTTACGTCCTGGACCACAGATCAGGGCCAGTCCCTCAGCAGGTGTCTCAATGGCTCAAATTGCTTTTTCACGAAGTTTTTATCGTCTGGCGAACTTTGTAGATGCGCGCGTACAACCAATGCGAGATCATATGTAAATAAGATCCGTCGTTCGGTGCTGATTATGGGGCCTGTCGACATAAGCTCTGAAGCGAACTACAAGACTCCCTCTGTCTGATATTGTGGATTGGTCACGAGATTTTCTTACCATCGGCCTATTCCTGATAGAATCACCCTCGATATCGAGGTTAAGGATGATGGTTATTTTATCTTTTGATTTATATATGCAATAGAGCTACTAGAAGGAAATAGAAAATAGAGAGGTAGTAGATATTACGATAGTTTATTTGATGCTTCAAATAGAGGTTTTAGAGCGGTGGTAGGAGTTAAGAGAGTAGAGTTCGTATGTTGGTGACAGGTTAATGCGGCGTGCGTTGGTGGGCATGGGCGAGACCAGTGCCTATCCCGATGCGGCTAGCGTAGTGGGACTTGGGGAAGATCCCGGCGCTTCTCCATCTGAAGGTTGAGCCAGCGCAGAGTAACTTCACGCGTTAAGTGGTCGCAACGGCCAATTGGAACACTCGCGAGACATAATACCACCGCCTGTTTGATCACAGCAATGGCTGAGCGTGCGGCTAAGCGGATGCGACGCATAAGCACCGAGTATGATGAGTCCGAGGGAGATGGATGGGACGGTCGAGGAAACAGCAGGTATGTGGCTGACTGCGCGCGCGACGCATAGCTGGCTGGCACCCATCGCCAAGGGCAGCGCGGGGACGACAACCGCCGTAGAGAGCTGTCAGGGCCACACAGGGCCCTCTTTTTGTCCTTCACCTCCATCTTTGTGCCACCCGCCTGCACGCATACCCAAACACCCCTGCCTTGAGCCACGGGGGCACACGGAGGTCATCTTACGCCATCGCCATCCCTCTCATTTACCTGCTCTCCTCTTCTTCTCCTCTCCTCCTCTTCTCCTCTTGACGGCCTTGCTCGCACATATTGCCATACCCATGCCTCGCCTACGATCACGCGCAGCTCCGGCTCCTCTAACATCCTACAGTGCTACTCCTACAGCTTCCTCGACCCGTCCGCGACGCGGCACGGCAAATCAGTCACTTGCGGCTGCTACTATACAGCGCTCCTCGCCCGAAGAGACGCGCCAGTCAATACACCTCACAGTAAAATCATCGCCCAACAAGCTTCGGCAAGCCACTGGCGGTGCTGCGCCCAAAGCGGGTGTCAGCCGTGAGAACATAGTCGTGGGCAAGCGCGCGTCACGGAACAGTCGCGTGGTCCAGGAGGTCGATAGCGAAGATGAAGAGGACGAAGAGGAGAACGAAGACGTAGACGAGGCCGATGCCATGGATGTGGATGAGGACTCGGACGACAATGAAGATGCGCAAGGCGACGACGACGATGAGGATATGGACGCAGAGGGAGACGAGGACGATGACATGGAGGACACGCCAGCGCCACGCATTGTTGTGAATACCAATCGAAGCATCCCCGTCAAGTCATCCGCCGGCACAACCACTAAGGCTCAAGACAAGGTTGAGGCCAAAGAAATGGCAATGGACGATGACGACGATGAGGAGCTTAGCGATCCTGATTCTGATCTTGACGATGAAGATGCGGAGGGCGAAGACGAAGACGCTGAAGGCGAGGACGATGACGACATTGGCGTAACGCCTGGCGCAGATATGGACGAAGAAATGGACAGCGATGAGGAACTCAGCCGCGACCAAACGCCCGATGTAACCAAGATGACCAAACGACAACGTGCGCTAGTCAACGACGATACCGACGGTGGCCTCCTGGCCCTCTCCAACGAAGCACAGAAGAAGAAACATCTCACGGCAGAAGAACACGCTATGCGCAGGGCGGAAATGGCAAGACGAAGAAAGAATCTCAGCGAGAAGCGGAACGAGGAAGAAAAGGTATATATCTCCTTTCCACCACTTCCCCATTCATTTCTCACACGAGCACCTACTGATTCCCCCATCTAGCTCGACACCATCAACCGCCTCCTCAAAAAACAACCCCCAAAACGCGGCCGCAAAGCCGCCCAAGACGCCCCGGAAGATGGCCTCGAAGAACCAGAACCCGAGCGCGCAAACCCCCTCTTCGTCCGCTACATTCAAAATGCAAAGGGCACACAGCTCGGCGTCCCGGAAGAATGGCTGCAAGCGCCCGTTGGCACCATGTTTGCGGGCGATGTGGCGAAAGCGACGCAGCAGAAGCCGTTTAGTGGGAAGATGGTCGAGGAGGTTGCTTAGGTCCCAGGCAGAGGAGGTGGAGGAAAGCAAAACATGTATATTATTGAGCGGGGTTTGGCATAACTTCCGGAGTTTTTGGTCTCTGAATACCAATTAGAATTACCTTTTTTTCTCTCTCTTGAACTCGTTTTTATTCCAATATTCGTTATCACTTTTTTTCTGAAAGGAATGATGATGATGGGACCAAATCCATACCGAGTGAATTTGTATTTGCAAGGATTGCCGTAATAGTCCCAGAGACACAACAGAGTATAGTAGTAAACATGACGTCATGGTAAGAACATATCATTATATTTTTTTTTTAAAAAAAATAGTAGCACTGACAGCCCACGGGTATAGTATAGTAGTGTCTTTCCATTGCAAGCTCTCTAGGCCCTCTTACCAAAGACCTTGTCAAAGCCCGTCAGCGTTATCCTGTACCTAACATTGTCGTTCTTGGAGACGCGCTCGACGGCCTCCTTGCAGCCCTCTTCGCTAATCTGGATTTCCTGCACCCAGCTCTTGATATTCTGCTTGGAAGCGAGCTCGAACATCTCCTCCATCTCGGGACGGTTGCCAATGTGCGAGGCGCCCATGTAGCAGCCGTTGGGAGCAAAAATCTGGGCGGGCATGGGTGGGAGCGGGTTGTCGGGGAAGCCGACCATGTGGAAGGTGCCGTTGACCTTGAGGATGGAGAAGTATTCTGCGAGGTCGAACTTGTCGGTGGCGTCGGCGGTGTTGATGACGAAGTCGAAGTGAAACTTCCATGGCTCGGACCAACCCTTGTCCTTGGTGACGATGAAGTCCTTGGCTCCCATCTTCAGAGCGTCGTCCTTCTTGTTGGGGGTGTGCGAGATGACGTAGGTATCGGCGCCCATGGCGACGGACCAGAGGACACCGAAATGGCCGAGACCTCCGCTTTGGTGGTGTTAGCGACTGATACGGCAATGTCCTTGGTGTTGAGAAACTTACAGTCCAATGATACCGACCTTCTTTCCAGGACCGGCTCCTAGCCTCTTCAATGGCGAATATGTAGTGAGACCAGCACACAGCATAGGCGCCGCCAGAGCAGTCTCGATGTTGTCTGGGATCTTGAAGACAAAGTACTCGTGACCTCTGATGTGACTGGCGTAGCCACCCTGTGCAACAGTGCCATCGGTGTGCTTAGCACCGTATGTGTCGACAGAGTTGGGGCAGTAGTTCTCCTGGTCATTCTTGCATTGATCGCAAGTCAAGTCGGCGCCAATCTGAGCGCCAATACCGGCACGGTCGCCAACCTTGACCTTGGTGACCTTTGATCCGACCTTGATGACCTTGCCAATGACCTCGTGTCCTACGCAGAGAGGAAGAGGAATTGAGTCTCCCCATCCGCCGCTAATGGTGTGGACATCTGAAGCGCACACACCGCAGGCATCAATGGCGATGTCGACGTCGTGCTCCTCGAACTTCTTGAGGGGCAGCTACCAGAGGGTCAGTAAGACGATTGGTGGGAAATTCGGGCCGAGGACTGACCTCCTTGCGGGTAAAGTTGCTCCAGTTCTTGATGTCAGTGACGGCAAAAGCGTCGGTGGTCTCTGGGTAAGGCATCTTGAAGTTGGATACACGGGGTGTGAAGAGGAAAAGGGTAAAGAGAAATGTGCAATGGGAGGGTAAGCATCGAGGGGCAGCCAGAGGTATTTGAAGCCCCGGGGGTTGAAGCACCGGGAAATCTACGGCCAGCTGTTGAAAAGACCCATCGTCACTGGCCAGTGATATCATAACAGTGGATGGAGTTCTAGAAGGCCCCCGCCATGGAGACTTGTGGGGCCGTGTGATTGGACCGTCATGCAGCCATGAGAGGGTTATCTGGTGTGTTGTGCATGGTACCTTTTCTTGACCGTCACCCACGCGTCAATGATCGCGCTTTTTACCGTTGCATCGTGTTTTCGCATACGCCGTTGACGACTAGATGCCAAAGCTTGCTACGTCCAGCGTCTAAGCAGCCCGCGCTACGTATTGGCTCGTTTCGGCTATGCCGAAAAGTGGAAGAACTTGCTGTGCCGCCTTTCAAGCTTCGAACGCGACTTGCCTGTCTAGACTGCCGCTGCTAGAAGGCCGTCTGAGGCTCGCCGAGAGAGCGAAGAGTGAACGGAGAAAAAATGGTTCCGACCTCGTTCCGATCGGTCTAGTGACCGACCAGCACTCATTCCGATCGCCGACAGTTACCGACGTCATCATCTTCTCCTTCCAACCACCATCAACACTTCATCCATGATTGCCTTTCGCTTCATCGCTCAGATCAGCTCCTTGGACTGGACCAAGTTCTCCCTAATTATCTCTTATGGTTTCATCTTGGGCATTGCTTTCAATTCTGTGTCGCGTGTGAGCAGAGGAACTTGTCCCTCTCAAGCAATCGGCCGTTATCGACGACCAAATTCTCTTTCTACCCTGGATTCAGTCCCCCAAGAGCTTCCGTGGCCAGAAATGGCATCTCCCAATTCCCCAACCCCGATTAGTCCCGGGAAAATGATTCAGTCTCCAAACTCGCTCCATCTTCTTCGGTGTCTAATACCCCGCACTCAGAATGCGGGGTGATGGACACTGGGTTTGCCGAATGCGGCATGCCGTGATGCAGATAGGCAAAGCAATCCGCCGTTTCAGTATTCCAGCAGAGCGGATAGCCAGAAATGCCGAGAATTGTGCAATCAGGAGCGAGACTCTAAGCATGGCGTGGTTAGCTCTCAGTCTTGAGGGCCACGTTGTGCTGGCGTCGCCATATATCTTCCACTCCAGCTCTTCTTTTTAATCATCTCATCTAGATGTCGAATTACAAAGTAGCCTAATACCTGTAATAGCACCTGAAAACATGTCAGCTCCAAACCCGGCTCAGTCCGCGCAGGGGACCATGAATGCGCTGCGGTTCCACGGCCAAAAAGACTTGCGATTTGAGAAGATACCAATCCCAGAAGTCAAGCCAGGTCAAGTCAAGATAAAGCCAGCATGGGTCGGAATCTGTGGCAGTGGTATGTATGCGCAACTGAATTGCAGAATAAAGAGACTGACGTGCCTTTATACCTACACGAGTATTTAGGTAAGTAGGTAGAATGACGAAATGTGGTCCCAAGCTGAGCACCTAGGTGGTCCAAACCTCTGTCCCACCACACCTCATCCAATCACCGGCGAAACAGTCCCGCTTACCTTTGGCCACGAGTTTAGCGGAACAATAGAAGAGGTTGGCGAGGGCGTAACAGACTATAAACCTGGCGATAGGGTTGTTATCCAGCCCATTATCTACGACGACACCTGTGTTGCATGCGAAGAGGGATTGCATAATTGCTGTTGGTCTAATGGCTTCATCGGTCTATCTGGATGGGGTGGTGGGTTAGCAGATCACATAGTCGTCCCAACATCGACTCTATACCACCTTCCTGACAACGTGCCGCTCGAGATTGGCGCCCTGGTCGAACCTCTAGCTGTTGGCTGGCACGCTGTTAAAGTCAGTCCCTACAAGAAAGGCGACAGCGTGCTCGTTCTGGGAGGAGGCCCCATTGGTATCGCAACTATCCTCGCCCTCAAGGCAAATGGGTGCGACAAAATCATTGTCTCGGAAATCAGCAAAAAGAGACAAGAGTTTGCAAGGAACTTTGGCGCACACTACATCATCAACCCCGTGAATGAAGACCTCGCGACCCGTTGTCGGGAACTTACAGGGGGGAAAGGTGTACATGTAGTTTATGACTGTGCTGGCGTTCAAGCAGCACTCAACCAAGCAGTCCATGCCACACGTGCTCGTGGCTGCATTGTCAACATTGCCATTTGGGAGAAGCCATGCACGATCCAGACCAACGACTTCAACTTCAAGGAGCGAAGCTACATGGGCATTGCAACGTACGAAGTGGGTGACTTTCAAGAAGTGATTGATGCACTCAGCCGGGGTGACATGGATCCAAAGGCCATGATTACGCAGAAGATTGCTCTGACAGAGGTGGAGGAAAAGGGCTTCAAGAGCCTGATCAACGACAAGGATAACCAGGTGAAGATCTTGGTTGAAGTTGGCGGTGGAACATGAGCGTTCGTTCCAGTAATGAGCATATGAGTTTCCTAGTCGTACATTTAATCTATCTTTCTCATTCCCGCCACTATGCAGATGAAGCAAATTCAACATGAATAACTCCACATCACAATGCCACCCTCACATCATAGACTTGGCCGCATGCCACCCCGCAGCCCAATGCCACAGCCTCGCATCCACCCTCTTACCCTCTTTGTCGTACTGAATCAGTCGCTCGTACAACTCATCCACCGGCACAACCACCCTCTCAATAAACTCCCCATCATCCAGCGCCTGCTCCGGCTCCGCATCCCCCTCCGCCAACTCCACCTCCACAACCGCCAACTGCATATTCGCCGTGCTCATCCCAGGGTCCGACACAATCGTCGGACTAATGAATTTTAATCTCCCCTTATACCCCGTCTCCTCATGCAATTCCCGCACACTGGCTTCACTCGGCGATTCCTTCTCATCCACCAGGCCCGCGGGCAGCTCGACGCACACAGCGTCCACAGGGGGCCGGTACTGCAATATGATGATTGTGGAGGGCGGGCGAGACGGGTGTCGAATTATGGTTACAATGGCGACGGCGTCGACACCGGATTTACCGCGTGTTTTGCGTGCTGCGGCTTCCCAGACGCGGTCTTTGCCGGTTTGGTCCTGCCAGGAGATTTTCTGGAAGGAAATCCATTTTGCGGAGTTGGAGGGGAGGTCTTCGATTTGGAGGATGCGGGGGGGTTGCGGCATGTTGTAGGCGGCTTGGAGGGGTTGTGGTGGGCAGTGAAAGGCGCGGCAGGTGTAAGGGATGGTATGGAGGGGTGGTGGAAGGGGCTTGGGTGTGGATACTGAGCGGGTTGTTAAGAGAGATAGTAGTTGCCTTTTATACATTGGTGATTTCCGTGGTTTTTCCCTGGTAATGCAGGACTGAGAGCGCTGACGTACGAGACTTGGGGGGCTTGCAATTGCCCCGCGTCGCGGTGTCGCGAAAACACGTGCTACATCCTATGACATCATAATCAGTCTGTATACATGTATTGCTCTGAAATCGGCTGGTCAAGCTACTGACATTATGACTGCTTGAATAGTTCAAGGAGTACCCAGCGCTCAAGCGCTCGTCTTTCTAATATCCGTCAACTTAACCATCAACGGACTCTTTTCCCACGTATTAAACGCCTTGAGCCCCTCAAACTCGCCCTTTGGATCCCACAACCTCCCCCCATTCTCTGCAAACTCGACATCGAAATTCCACAAAAAGGCCCCGAGAATCAGTCTCAGCTCCACATATGTCAGATTCCGGCCAATGCATCCTCTGGGACCCAGCGAAAAGGGTTGTGCAGCCTTCTTAATGTCACTGCCGAATCGGGCTTGGGAGTCTGGCGTGTCGAGGAACCGTTCGGGAATGAAGGTGTCAGGCTCGATAAAGTTGGCTGCCGAATGTGAGGCGCTCCATGAAGAAACACAGACGGATGTGTATTCTGGGACGAAGTGTCCGTCAATGACAGCGCCGCCTTTGGGCACGTTGCGCAAGAGACCGATTGGGACGGGGGGAAAGATACGAAGTCCTTCTTCTATACAGGCATTCATGTACGGCAACTTACCCAAAACATCCATGTTGAGATCAGCTTCGGTCTTGCATGCGCCTCTGATCTCATCCTTGAGCTTTTGAAATATCTCTGGGTTGCGCAGCAGGTAATTTGTCAATCCGCACAGCTCCGTGGCTGTTGTCTCACTGCCTGCGACGATGAAGAGAGCCGCGTTCATGATGACTTCGCCGTCGCTGACCTCATTTTTCTTTTCCCGCTGCTTCAGAATGTACCAGATGAAATCGCGGTGATCGCTCTTTGTACCGAGCCTTTTGACTGTTTTGTCTGTAGAGTTGCGCAAGTGGCGGACACGGCGCTCGCGGATCACACTTGGAATGCACCACATAAGGAATTTCTGCATCATGGACCCGGGTTTAGCAAAGCGGCGGGTGGCCTGTTCAATGGCACCTGATTTGATCGCCTCGTAAATGAGGACAACCCAGTTTGCAGACTCGGAACCTTCACCTGGTACACTCTTAGTACTGTTCTGACAACATATCCCTCAATGTGCACATGGATAGCTCGAAAACCATACCTTCTCGAAGACAACCGAATGGCTCGCCAAAACTCAAATCACCAATGATATCAAATGTGCAAAAATTGAACCATGACACCATGTTGGCCGGTTGGCCTCGCTCGGCCAACTCCCTCAACCGCTCGACAAACATGTTTACATAACCCTTGAGGATTGGTTCTTGCTCCATCAGCGCTTGCTTAGAGAAGGCATGGGACAACGCTCTCCTCTGTCGAGCATGTTGAGAAGCTGGTGCCATGGTCAAATTCGTGGCTCCAGGAATGGCTTCTACAGCGCCGACATGGATAGCGTCCTTTTCCATACTGGGAAGACCGACGCGGTGACCATAAATATCGTCCCAAGATTTTGCCGTGTTAAAAGAAAGCTCGTTAGGCATGACGCGAACGACTGGTCCATACTGGTCATGGAGGCGCTTGTACTCAAAGGAAATGCGGCCTCGTAGCAGGTGTACGATGGACGGAATTGGAGATATGCGCCAGAGTAATGGCCCAGGATACTTGGCCAGAGGATGTAGTGTGACATTGTAAATTGCGTTCAAAAGGACGTATGCGAGGAACTAAAATCGATCAGGCCCGAGGTTTGTCATTGAGCCAGCAAGGTTGACGTACAGCAACGGGCGCCCAAACCGCAACTAGGCGGAGACGTTCTCCATCTATAATGCCCATTGTGGTCTTTTGAGTAAGCAGCCGTGAAATAAAGACGATGCTGTTTCAATGAAAAAAATCAAGAATGCGCATATACAACGGTAAAAGGGCTAGCCCGGGCAGATATACCAATCTCAACTAATCCTCGGAACACAACATTCCAAGTACAGGGATAAGCAGGACAGGTGTTTCCCCGTCACAGTGGCGAAGGCATCTTCTCGCCAAAGCATTTCCGAGTTGGGATATCTGCCACTTTGCAGAGCGCCAGACATGGAGACTTGCCTAACTCATCATGATTACTATCAACAGCCGACGCAATTCTCTCGGAAGCGTAAAATTGATGTCGCACGACATGAACGGAAATTTGAGTACGCATCCATGTGTATATTGCTGGTTGACGAATAATCGCATGGGAAGTTGGAACTCGCAAGAGACAAGACGGGAAATGCTTTAGCGCCATGCATGGTGGAGAAGGACGGACCCCGCATGGCGATAGCAACCCCGCGTGGAATGGCCCGCTACATGAGCAGGTCAGAGACGTAATGCGAGTCGTGTAATTTTTCCAACCAACGTACTCTGAGTCGCAATGGCATCATCAGATTGCTCAATGTGAGACTCATGACACGATCGGCTTGTTTATAGAATAACGGCTTGTGGATATTCCGGGGCACTCGCTTGCGTGGTGATACATACGGGAGCTCATGAACCTAGGGCAAGACTGCATGATTCGAATACTGCTACGGTGTCTGATTGAATATAGGCGGCGTTATCAGCGCATCTTCGGTCGCATCATTAATAGCTTCAGACCAAATCAACCCCATATGCGCATATCCAGCGTGGGATCTATAATCATTAGCATCGCACCGGCGTACGTTCAATCCATAAAACTCACGGATGTAGGCCATCAACTAGCTCGTAAACACTCACGACACTCTGGTCCACGACTCTAATCTTGAAGCCTTTTTTCGCCCTTTCCTCCACGACTTCAGGTACCGCCTCGTTGAAAGCCCTGATATTGTCACTCGTCCGCTGGTTCAGCGCCTGTACGATTTTCGCAACAAGTACCACTGCATCTGGACACGCCTCCAGGACAGCATCTAGGAGCCTTCCCAACTGCTGCGGCGCATCCTTCCACAATGCGCTGTCAGAGCGATTCAGATCAGTCGTGCCCACATGCACTAACACTACATTCGGTCGCATCTGCAGCGCAGCCGTCATAGCACCCATGATTTCGCCTATTGTGGAATTGACATGTCCCTCGTTGTCATTATCAAACATGAAGCCTGAATGCTGTGTACCGACAAAGTCGACCGACTGATACCACGCGCGGATGAGGTTGCGCAAAAGCTGGGCACGATACCCATCTGTGCCGTTCTGCTGGCTGTCCGGGTGCCAGCCCCATGTTATCGAGTCGCCCAGAGGAAGTATGCGGAGGGGAATGTGAAGGTTTGCGTGAGGACGTTCATGGCGTAAGCCGACGATGAGCGCGATCACTAAGGGGGTGGGTTAGCAACGATGTAAGGTAGGAGACTGAACGGAGGACAGGAGACGTGAACAGTTAGTACGGAATTAGGCCTTTTACTCTACTCCCATTCACATAAGTATCTTTGATCTCCTATGCGACAATGGGAACGGGATCAGTCTACCATAGAGACAGGAATGGGAACCTACATAAACACAATGCGCCAACTACCGCTACGCCCCTAAGCGCGGTCTTATGCCGCGGGCCACCCAGAATCGAAATCATGGTGATGTACAGTCGCAAGCACTCATCTGTCGCTGTCGAGAGCGACTCCGTAGTAACGTGGCTGAGGCCGCGTGTGTCGCTCCCCCGAGTTCACCAATGGGCACGTCATAGCGTCATCTGGAAACAAGGGGCTAGATTGCTCTTCTAAGCCTGAATGTAATTAAGCTAGAACTATAATTCGCCATCGTGAGTTCAAAAACACGGTCTGCCTGCCATTGGGCACATTGTGTAGTGCAAGATGAATTAGAAAGAGTTGAAAGGCGCGTCAAAGTGGCGCGAAGGGATGATTGTCCCTGACATGGGCGTACTAACAGGGTCTCCCCACTAGCCACGCTAATCAAGGCAAGGGGGTGGAGACATCTACCACCGTCTACCAAGAAACTCCACACCCAAGCATTCGTCTTGTTCGACGGGATATCATGGTATAACTCTTGCCTTTCTCATGCGATCAAAAGCAGTTGTCCACGTCTCTTTTGTCCGTATCTCCTCGGTGTACCCAACCTTGTGCGAAGCCTCCATGCTCATCTGGCGGTCGAAATCGAACATAGTCATGATGAAGTACTACCTTCTGTTAGCCCGTGGCCGCTACCAGTTCAGAAATATAGGCGCAGACCTGGAATCCTGGGTGCGTAATATCGCTATCAGCGCTTCCCGGCTTGAGACCATGCTTCTTCTCCAACTCCTGCCACTGCTGCTTGTGCGCATCAATGTATGCGCCGGGCTGTGGTGAGCCCTCCTCAGGCCCTGTGCCTTCTAGCCCAAAATAATCGCAGACGACTGGCCATTTCCCACTCCAGCTGTCTTCTTGCCCACCCACATTGAAGCTCTGCGACGCAGTCTTTTCCGGATGCAATGATGCGTGTATCGAAAAGTGCGCTACCATGTCCTGGGGAGACTCGTTGTACCTGTTCACCCACGACTTCTCACTCCCGGGAAACGGACACTTTGCGCCCTCACCTTCGACGGATCGGTAGAGTGAGAGGTACAGTGCGAGTGTTTGGGCTAGACAGTAGGCATTGTTATTTGGAACGAATCCGATGATATTGTCCGGGCGAACTTCACACCATGTCCACTTCTTTCCTTTCGAAATGCGCTTCAGGCAGTCGATCTGGTTGTAGTAAAAGAGTTGAGAGAGGTATGGCTCAGGAATAGGCGGAAGTGTCTCTTTCAGCGGTAGGTCGTTTGTGAACGGGAACTTATCCAGCATTTGACAGCCGTAGATCTTTGTTCCTGTTGGGAGAATCACGTACGAGAGTTGAGGCGACAGGCGGTCAACGGCCGTGACCGCACGCTCCAACATTGCCTCATTTACCTTGCATTCCGACGCAGGGTCATCTATCTGCTTATATGCTACCACTCATCAGTCGTATTCTCTTCGGAAACCGCACTACTTACAATAAAAATACACTTGAGAAACTGTCTCAACATCCTTGACCTTTTCTCTAATCTGCGCCTCCAATTCCTCTTGAGTCCCCTTGACAAGATCTACACCAGATACGATTTGTAATCGAGGGTCGTCGGACCAGAGCGCCATTTCTCGTGTCAACGGCCGATTCACCATGGCTGTAACTTTGGAGAAGGCGTCTTTGGATGGATATCCATTGAGGATGGCATTTACAATGGCCCACCCAGATATCCCTGACGCGCCGTAGATGAGTGCATGATTACCCATTATTTATTATAAGAAACGAAAGTAATCAATGCGAGGGGTTTGGGACTGGAAGAAGGATTGGTGAATATATAGCGAAGAAAAAAAAATCACTGATAGAGTGCGAACGGGGAGCACTTGGTATAAGTATGTATTCCAGCCCTATCCTTTTGCAATGCAAACAGAAAACGTTCGTTCGTTCAATACGAGTAATCAGACACCATGCATGCTTTAGTGTGATTATGTTGCTGCATACAGTTGGTCGGGCTACGACGGAGAACAATATCCAGTATGATGCTGACGCCTCTTCCCCGCTTCCTTGCATTGCTATGACTCGCGAGACATGCCATGTTCTGCAACGATACCCGATGGTTGGCCTGAAAAATACTCCGAGGATGAAGATGGCTGATGTCAGTCTGGATTCGGTTGTGTCGGTGATACTGAGTAGGGGCGTAGGAGAGACGGGCCATGGCCGCGCCAAGCCAGGCCAGGGTTCCAGGGTCCCGTGGGTGCTTCAACCTCTACTCTACTGTCTCATAGACACTACGCATCCCACGCACCTGCAACCACCAAATGCTGCATGTCACAGCTGCACTCTCTTTAAGCTCTTTTTCTTGCGTTTTTGCATTTTGGGTTTCCTTGGTTGGCAGCGTCCGGGTTTTCTAAAGTCAATCGACCGCAATTGTACTTTCGACTGCCCGCACCAAACTTCCGACGCGTCGTCGCTGTTTTGTACAGCCAGCCCATTCACGCCTGCTTTTCTGTATATCTATCGCCGTTCTCTGGGCTAACACACAGTATCCATGGCTACAATCAGGGTCGGTCAGACGGTAGAGACGACCGGTGAGCAGCAGGGGATAGTTCGATATGTAGGACCTATCCACGTATCTGATGGCACGTTTGTGGGCATAGAGCTTCCCACTCCTACTGGCAAAAACGATGGATCTGTACGCGGAGAGCGCTACTTTACATGTCCACCGGGACATGGCTTGTTCATACGTGATTCAAGTATTGCGGCTATAATATCACAACCAGTTCCACCACCGCCTTCTACCCCCAAGTCAGCCGCCCCAAAACCGAAACCACCGACGACTACACCCAGAGCTCGACCTTCGAGTGTCGTTGCTCCGAAACCCGGTCCTCCCGCCAGACCAACAGTAAACAAGCGACAATCCGTCGTAGGCCTTCCAACCCAAGCTTCCCTTCGCGGACCCGTCCGTAAAGCCAGCGTCGCCAGTATCTCCAGCAATCCTCCGGCAGAGAGTTCCCGCCCCGCCCCGCCGGCGTCCCGACCAAGCATCGCCTCATCAGTTGCCAGTAATTCCGCAAAGCCGCCTCGAGATGGCAATATTGAAACACTGCAAACAAAAATTCGGCATCTGGAGAAACAGCACGCAGAGGATCAGGAAAGACTCAGAGAACTCACACAAATTAGGGATGAGCGTGATCGGTTTAATGGCATCATACAGAAGCTCCAATCGAAATGCCAATCACAATATAGCGAGATGCAAGAGTTGAAGGATGCGCTGAAGGCTGTTCAGCAGGAAAATGAAGCCCTTACCAAGGCCCATCAAGATCATGAAGTAGACCTAGAGGATGCGTTGGTCGACAAGGAAATGGCAGAGGAGAGGGCGGATCAGGCGGAATCAGAGCTGGAGTCGTTGCGTAAACGGGTGGAAGAACAGAGCTTAGAGCTTGACATTCTCCGAGACGAGGCCGAGCTTTTCACAACAGAAATGTCTGAAGAGCAGAAGCAAGAGGCCGGTTACTATCGCCTGCAACACGAAAATGACCGCCTAAGGAATGCGCTCATCACTCTCAAAGAAATGACAGAGGAGAGAGAACAGGATCAGAAAGCAAGGATCGCCGGACTGGAAGCCGATCTCGCGCAGCTCGAACGCTTGGAGCAGGAAAATGCCACTCTTCAAGAGCGCGCTGCTGAGTCCGACTCGCTTGTCGACCATTTGAAGCAACAACTTGATGCCGCCAATGAATATGAGGATATGGTAGGAGAATTGAGCCATCAGAATCAAAACTTGCAAGACAGGATTGCGGAGCAAGAGATGATTGTACAAGACCTCGAGAACCTACGAGAGCTCAATGACGAGCTTGAGGTTCAGCACCTTGAACAAGAGGAGGATATGCTTGCGGAGATTGAGATGAAGGACGCTGAGCTTGCGGAACAAGCACGAGTGATTGCCGACCAAGCTGCCATTATTGCTGACAACGAATCTCTCATCACTAAATTCCGAGACCTCGTCATGGATCTGCAGACAAGAATGGCCGACGCCGAATCCTCTAAGAACATGACAGAAGCTCAAGTCAAGGACACTACTGGGCGGTTCAACCAAGTCATGGATCTGAACCGACAGCTGCATGCTGCCACTGTCTTGTCCACAACACGAGAGATTGAGGCTTCCTTGATTTCTTTGAAGGCTGATCAGCTTGCGGAGAAGCTTGAGATCTGGAACGAGACAGAATCAAAGGAGTTCACTCGTAGCGAATCACTCCAGGCCTATCTCACTGCAGAAAGGATTGTTGGCAAATCAGAACTACTCATGAATGTATTGCGGAGCACTAGCCGTCAAATGGGCAACGGCGGCCGACTGGACGATGCTTTGACTAGACTTGTTTGTGGTCAATCCGTTGCCCACCTCGAGATGATTAAAGACGGCAGCCACCGCCTTTGGACCGCTATCCGTAGCCTGACCCTGGCCGAGTTCGCAAACATCGGACCCACCTATCAAGAGCTTATCACTGTAGAACAAGTTCTCGACCAAGGCCTCAATGCTCTGAAGGCAGACACGGTCAATTTTGACGATTTTGCTGGAGCTCTTGAGCGTTCCACCAAAACACAGGAAGCAATCCTCTCGAGCCATCAAGATATTCTGGCTGAGCGACCAGAAGGCGAGCTGGTATCCAGAATCACGTCTATTCATGCTCGCCTTGACTACATCGCCCATTTATACGATCTGGCGACGTTTACTCTTCAAAAGCTGCCCGAAAATATACTCGAGGAGTGCGAATACACTCCAGAGCATTTTAAGACACCAGTGGAGACCACACAAGGTGCGCTTGCGGCTGCGATCAAGTTGCTAAGAGTCGTAGAGGCCTTGACTGCGGACAACATGTATCCCCGCCTTCCAGAGGGTCTGGAGGAGGCCATTCGATTTGACGAAGGACTAGCGCAGGCTGCTCAGGGAATTGCTAACTTTACCCGAAATCTCGTGGAGGAAGTCGCAAAGTGTGTCAATCTCTCTGATCCAGAGTCGCTCTCTGAAAGTGAGATGGCTGCCACTAAGGCTGCAATCGATGACCTGGATTCGAAGCAGCAGTCCATTTTCGTGACTGCTGGCTTGAATAGTCTTACAACCAGCTTGCGGCACTGGACTGACCACGCCTCGGTGCTTTCAAACAACGTTGAAATTGAGCATGGCCCCACACCATGGTCTCAAAAAGCCAAGGAAGTTGAGGCTGCACGGAAGAAGGATGATGAGGCGGTGCGTCAATTGCAGGCCCTCACAGCCGAGCACCGTGCTACTGTTCTCAAGATCCACGAGCGCGAGCAAATTATTGCTACGAAGGAGCTAGAGATTGAGCACCTGTCGGCTAAGATCCGGGATGCAGCAACCAAGACTGTGGGTCTCGAGGCCCTCCAAGAGGAGCTTACCCTATGCCACGAGCAGATCGCGGAGCTTGAGGAGCAGAATAAGGCCCAAGCCTTGGATCTGGAAGTTCTCAAGGAGCGCCTAGCCAACGTCGACGAATATCGACGTAACGACCCAGAGCTCACTACTGAAAACACAACCGCCCCTATCGAACAACCCCAAGCCGCCGACCCACGAAGTGTCCCGGGCGGCCTCAAGACCTTCATTGATGCCCTACAAAACGAGAACCACTGGCTCCGTGAGCGCGAGCACAAGGGCGCCCTCGACCGCAATATGCGCGAAATCTTCAGCAACATGGAATACGCCCCTCACGATGCCCCACACAAGATATCCCTCGCAAGTCTCGACGCTCTCGAACTCCTGTGGCTCGAAGACGACGAGTCTGAAGATATAGAAGCATCGTCGCGAACATCCAGTCCCAACCCCGACGGCGACGCAGACCAGACATACCGCATTCCTCATAGCCAAGTCTCTACCCGACCCAAACTCTCGGCCCTTGAACTCTCGCACGTGACGCTGGGATGGGAGACGCGTGCGCATAGTCACAAGGCAGTGTTGGAGCAGGCGGAGGAGGAAGTCATGTTTTTGTCTATGATACGTGAGGATGAGGATTTGACGTGGTAGATGGTGGAATATGGGGGGTTGCGTTTGAAAAGTAGTGTGCTTTTTTTTAAATTTTGGTTTACCGCTGTAGAAGAGAGGCAGAGAAGATACCCACCCCTTTTTCCGTTCCAAAAGGGTCGCACTGTAGAGTTGAAAGAATCACGATAACAATGACTTGTTGTAATTTTAACCCCAAAAAACTTTTATTCCATTTTTCCCACTTTTCATAAATAAGGGAGGGGGGGTGTGTGCATACCATTCTTAACCCCCCCGAAAAATTCGATGCGCTTCAACGCTCAAAATCCTCAATCTATATGGTGACAACCGAAAAGAAGAAGAAGAAGATGAGCAACTTAATCAACCGTCCCCCACTGCGCCGTCCCTGTCCCCGTCCCCGCACCCCCCTCAATCTGCCTCACCTCCCTCTGCCTCCGAACATTCCTCTCGTAAAACTCCTCCTTCTCCGCCAACATTTTGCGCTCGACGGCAGCGCGATGCTCAACCTCCATTTTGCGCTGCTCAATCATTTGCAACTCTGCAGTCATTGCATCCCTTACTTTTCTCTCTTCCTCCTCTGCGCGTCTGGCTGCGGCTTCGCGTTCTTGCTCAGTTAGCAGGGCATGCCAGGCGGCCTTTTCTGCGCGGCGTGTGCGCTCTGCCTCGCGCAGGCGCTGGACTTCGAATTCGTGTTTTTGCTGCTCGAGTAAGGTATATTGTTTTGTCGCTTTTGCCTGGCGGGCGAGGTCGGCGTCTAGGGCTTCGGATTTACGGCGGAGGGAGTCCTTGTGGGAGAGTTCGTGCATGGAGCGTTGGTGCTCGAATTTTTCTTTTTCGTGGCGGATGCTGAGGTCGTGGTCTTTTTGCTTGTCGACGAGGGCGGCGATGGGCGGGGGGAGGCCGGTTGCGCCGACGGGTTGGAGGGCGGAAGAGGAGTAGTAGACGGGAGCGCAGGCTTTGTCGCGGAGGAGGTCGAGGAGTAAGGGCCGGATGGGGGTGCGGGAGGGGGTTGCGAGGAGGTCGACGTAGGAGTAGGGGGAGTAGTGGAGGTTGGAGGCCGGGTCGTGGTAGATGTGAGAGGGGTCGTTTAGGTCTTTCCAGATGTCGGTTTCGAGGAGGGTTTCGGTGATGGGGAGGGCGCTGTAGGGGTTGTCGAGGGCGAGGATGATGCTGGACTTTTCGTTTCGGGCGCGGAATTTGGCGTTTGCGCCGTTGGAGAGGAGAAGGCGGATTACCTGACGGAGTCGGGAACGGTGGGTGGGAGTTATGACATTGGCATTGAGACAGAGCTCACCGAGGGCATTTCTGCCGCCATGGAGTCGAGATGGATAGTTTGGATCGTGGCCATGTTCAAGCAGGGCTTTGACGGCCTCGACATTCAGTTCTCGTGCTGATTCGTGTATACTACCATCGTTTCCTGCGGTATGGGGGGCCAGTGTTCTCACCAATACTTCCCCAGATAGACTACCGCTAGCGTAGAACAGTGCAGACTTGTTCCACTTGTCTCGGGCATCAACGTCTGGACTTCGCTCTAGTAGCGCAGTAAGGATAGCGTGACGTCCCTCTCGCGCGGCAAGCATCAACCCCGTTGTTTCCGAGACGGACGAGATGTCACTCACGGAAGCACCGGCTTCCATCAGTGCGGAGATCACGGCATCTGAGATACGCTTTTGCGGTTGAGCTAGCGCCCAGTAAAGTGCGGGGACTGCCTCCGGACCAGCCGCCGGATGGAGCACTGTGGGAACCGATACATTTGGATTCAGACCATGACTGAGTAAAAGCTTGATGAGAGCAGCATTGCGTGGGTAGAC